TGGTATCCTCCCAGCCCGTGAGCTTGTGACCGAAATGCCGATGGATTGAAACCCACGCGCGTCCTGGGGGAGCAGCAAGCAGCTCCCGTACAGCCACAGTTCAGGCCCGCCAGCCTCTTGCGCAGCTTGCCGGGTAAACCTGAGCTCGCCCTCCGCCCTACCCCGGCTGTGCGCCTGGGCGCGCTACCTGTGCCCCCGCGTCAGCCCCGGACACCCCGACGGCGCCCACCGCCGCGCTCCTCACCGCCCTCCGCTTCTAAAAAAAAAAACCAACCCAAACGAACCAAAACATCAGCGCATGTTAAATTGACGGAAACATTTTGCCAAACCACCCGGCCCCTGACATAGGGAGACGGGGAAAAATGGACGTAGTACGCCGAGGAGCTTAAATTACGTTACGAGACAAATTAATTGAAATCTAAGGTTCAATTAGCCGTCGCTGTTGAAATGAGCGATTTTGGGAAGTGGGCGGCGGAGAGCTTCCTTAGGGGCCGGACTGCAGCGCTCCTGTACCTGCGCAGCGGCGCCATGTGCGCGCCTCGGCGCTGCACGCTTTTGCCTGCGCAGTCAAACGAGGTGATACAGACCGCGCACTCACTCTGCCCTCACGCTCATCTTCGCGTGGGCGCGGAGGGGCGCGCAGCCCCCCGGCCGTGCGCCCCCGCTCCTTCCCGCGCAGCGGCAGCGCCGCTCTGCCTCCCGCAAAACCCGCACCGGCCTTCGCCTGCACCGCGTGCGACTCACTCGCAACGCCCAAGCCAAGTCTCCAGAGGCCAGGGCGAAGCTCTAAGCTCGTCCCACTCCAGCAGCGTATTTTTTGGGGGGAATCAGGGCAGCATACAGCCGGTCGGTCAATACGCTGCAGCCCCGGAGTTACCAATAGTGTTATGAAGTTGAACCTAAGTATGAAAATACTCTCATGCTAACTTCCAAGCGCCTTTCCCGAACTTCGTGGCTTTCAGAAAGGGCCCCAGATATGGTACGACGCCAGTTTGGAAACACTCCTTTAAAGATCTCCATCCACAACAGCCTGACCGTGTTCTCCATCTAACCCGGCCTGTGGAGATAGGGAAGGGGTTTTAATCAATGTTCTCTTGACTATTTGTGTGCAGTTCTCTGCCATTTTTGGTTATGACCTTTGCAGAACATAATATGAACTGTAATCGGTTTAAGAAGAAATTTTGAGGAGGAAACTTATGAGAATATTCTTCTCCTCCACATTTTCCACAGTTTAAGTGACAGATGAACAAATACAAGTAAGAAACCACTAAACACAATGGTCCCCCAAATTAATTAAAAAAAATTTGTTTTTTCATAAAAAACAATGCAGTAATTTGGGGAAAAAATCAGTTTGAGGTAAAAATACAACAAAAGCCCCATGCTAACCTGGCACCTAAGGGACTGCTCTGCAGGCATGGCTGAGGCCGAGCGTCCCTGTTCACTGTAGGGGCTGCCAACACAGATGTCGAGGCCTTACGGGGACACATCTCAGTTTCTGCCCGGGCACATGTCCCGTGCCCACTGCTGTGCAGGGTCGCACCGCATCTCTTTTGGCGTTCATGGCAGGCCCAATTCTGCTGGGAGACAATCACAGGTCAGAAGGGACACTCGGGTATGCCTTTTGGTCTCAATAGCAGGGAAGCACAAGACGAACAAGGGTTCGTGCCCCACGCTGGGCCTTGCTACACACAGTTCGTGCCTCATAGACAGGAGGGCAGCCCGCGGTCAGAAAGCCCCGCTCCGTGCCCCCCAGCTGCGCTGCCCCAACCCAGGAAGGTTTATAGCAAGACCGCCCGGCCTTTCCTCATCTCAGCAGCAGCAGTAGCAGCAGCAGCAACGCCTCATACCGGAGGCTCCGGCCCGGCGGAGCCCGGAGCTGCACGTCCTTATCCGTGCAGTGCTGCGCAGGGACCAGCAGCACTGGCCTGCGTGCCCGGCAGGCACCTCCCGCGGCCAAGCCCGCACTTTTCACTGCCTACCGGGGGACCCTGAGCACTGCTAATCTTATTTTCGTTGTGATCAATTTCTGTGCGGAGGAGGAGAAGAAAAAAAAAAGTTATGATTATGGTAAGAATAATTATTTTAAAACTAAAGCAGAAACACGCGTGTGCAATGAGCCAGCCCATCGCACTGAGAACCAGGAGGTGACCTCCGCTACGACCACGCACGTCACTTCAGGAAAGAGATTCCCTCTGGAGGCAGAGGATCCCGACACAACCTACCTGCGCCCGAGCAGGAGGTTTCCCTTTGCCCCCTCCCTGACTGTGAGCCACCCCTCCCCCCAGCTCGCTGAGCCTACTCCACCCGCCCCTTTTGAAGCCTGGGCCACGGGTAGCGCAAGTTACGCGGCCACCCCGCTGCGGAGGCCCGCGGACCGCCCCGGGCATTAGCAGTAATTACACACCGCACTTGTTCAAGTTACGCACAGTCCCCCCAGCTCCCCTAACCGAGCACCACCACTGACAAATGCAACGGGCTATTAAACAAGCCGGGCTAACAACTGCTTCCCTCCCTGTTTTTTTTCGCCACAAACACCCTACCGCTGGAGACCGCTGAGAAAACCCAAACTACAGGAAAGCCGGCGCCTGATCGCAACAAAAATAACAGGCAAATAGCACACGCGATCGCCTCTACCCTCTGCCTTCTTTAAACTTTATTTTAAATACATGACGGGGAGCAGGATTGGCCTTATTACGCAGCCACCTCCCTGGCAAACCCATCTGCCGGGGCAGAGAGAGCTGCCCCGCCGATGGTCCCCTCTCCAAGGAGAAGGACCGAAAGTGCGAGGCAGTGAAAGCCCCGCCGTGCCCCTGGCCCGGCAGCCCTGCTCACAAGGAGTGCCGGTGGGCGGGAGCCGCCAGTTTAGCTGCCCCCCACTCGCTACCGGGAGAGGGACAGTGGGGAGCAGAAAGTGAGCCTCACCGAGAATAGGTAACATTTTATTTCTCTTTAGTGGTGAAAAACGGGGAGCAGCATTTAAAACGTGCCCCCGGAGCGAAGGCGCTGAGCCTTTGCTCGTCGTTCTCTTCAGCTTTACCAAAACCGGACGATGGAGCATTTGAGTTTCTCTTACCCAACTTAACAAACAAATACATATAAATAAGGCCGATTTTTTTTGAGGTACTAGCACGAAAAAGCAAAGACTATGCTATACTTACATAAACATATTATAAGCCAACGTTATAAAATCACACACACACCCCACATGTTCATTCGATCTGCTGAAGGTGTCCTCTAATTATTGCTTTGGAAGGGCAGCACAGCTCAAAAGTGAGGTAATAAGGTTGAACTGTAAATACCTTTGTATTTATTTACAATATAACCCTTAACAATGCAACAGCAATTTCTGCTAAGTGTTGCCTTTAGATAAGAGCTTCTGATAGGAAACTGTACTACCTTGAAAGCAAATTTTAGGCCTTAAGTATCTGTAATCAAGTAAACTTATTCCCAAGTCTGACTGACAAGGCTGAGTCTTTTAAGTTAATGAATTTATTGCATTTTGTTACTTACAAAAGGAGAAGGTGACCCCTATGGCTCATAGGTTCTTAATAGCAAATTGTCCAGAAGGTAAGATCCTTGATCTGACAAGATGTCAGTCTGTGCAGCACTCATCTGCTACCCTGGTAATATATTTTTTTTCCAATTTAAGGAAAAAGGAGGGGGGGAGTAGGAAAAAAAGGTAAAACAATCCCCAAACAACTGTATGCGAAAAATTCGCCCACACAAAATGGTTTTAAAATAATTTCAGTCCGTACAATTAAGATACGGACCAGTGAAGTCCCTGAAGGACAGGAGAAATGTAGAGCTATAAAGGTGTAAGAGTGGACTGTACAAGTACCCTTTAATCCAACTACTTTTTTTTCCCCTGAAATAAAATAGTACTTAAAAAATATATATTACAGAAGCAGCTTCACAGATGTGATTGCACGCATTGCTATTAATTCTAAAACGCAGTGATTTATATGCTTGCATTATATTCAAGAATAAACGTAGTACAGATTTGGCATCTGCTATACACTGTGGAATTTAGAAAAATATGCAATGCGTATATGAAGCTATAAATAACTACGTAATCCTTCTTTAAATATAGGTACATATGTAAATCCTAGATATAAATACATTTGAAACACACACAGACCGATAAATAGCTCGATATATATACACAGTTACACAAGGGCAGGGATCTACTGCATGCAGTTCTACCTCGGAGTTATCGCTTAATATATCCTTACATAGGCATATTATTTAAAAAGCCATAATGCTGTCATACTACTGTGTATGGTCAAATGTTTCCAGGTCTTGCCCATTAATTGCTAAGAAAACGTGTTTGTTTATTTGCCAACTCAGAGCTGCCATGGGAAAGTATTTTTTTCCTAGCGGATAAGGCGAGCTGACTAAGTGGAACATATTGCAGAAGAGACTGAAAAGGGATTTTTCGACCTGGCAGTTCCTAAATGGTCTTTGGAATTTGTGCGGAGGGGAACAAGCTGTTCCAGCGACAAAGTTAGTTATGAAATCCCTTTTCCCTCTCTTTTTCTCTCTGTGTCTAAATGAAAGTATTAAAATATACAGACGTGTATCATTCCAACTGAATGGTAATTTATTAATAAACAAACAATGCAATACCTTCAGAATATTTTCAACAAAAAAAAGAAAAATATTGATAGAATAAGATTAATACAGTTTCCCTTTTTATATAGTGAAAAAAATATCAGCGTTTCAGTCAATTTTAACGTCATTTTTCAGGAAAGGGGGAAACACTTTCTGGCGTTTGGTCCGCAACATCCAACTACAAATTAAAAATAAATTACTATATCGCAATTTACATTTTAAAACAAGTCCTTGTAGAAGAGGAAGGGGAGGAGGGAAGAAGCTGGTACTCTTACGCTGGACTTTTCACTCCCTTTTAAATGACAATACGTTAAGAGACGGGGAAGAGCGCGGGGTGGGGGGAAAAAAGTATTTTTCAAAGCAATTTAAAAAAAAAAAACTTACGTGTTATTGGAGTAACACTGTCCTTTAACAAACCAAGACATGCTTTTGGGGCTGTCTCTGTACAAAAGCTTTTCGCGATGCGCTCACTTCCCTCCGCGGGCGCGGTGCGGAGCGCAGTCCCCGCAGTGTCCCCGCGACGGGGCGCGCTCAGAACTTGCCGCAGTCGTAGACGAAGGCCCCGGAGGTGCGGTAGAGCGGCTGGCTGCCGGGGAAGGCCATCTGACAGCTCCCGCCGCCCCCGCCCCGCCGCCACCGCCGCCGCCGCCCCTCCTGCCCCGCCGCCGCCGCCGCCCGGCGAGGCGCTGAGCCCCAGCCGCGGCGCTTCGAACACCTCCCGCGGGGCGGCGGCGAAGCCCTGCTGCGGCCCCGCGTAGCCCGCCGCGCCCGCCAGCGGGCCCAGCTCCCCTGCCGCCGCCGCCGCTGCCGCCGCCGCCGCTGCCGCCTGGTTGAGGTACCAGGAGGCCAGGCGGCCCTGGTGCGGGTGCGGGTGGTGCCCCTCCTGGTGGCCGCCCGCCGCGCCGCCCAGCCCGCCGTGCCCCAGCGCCCCGCCACCGCCGCCCTCGCCCCACCGCCGCCACCACCGCCGCCGCCGCCGCCCGAGGGCATCGAGTAGTCGGGCAGCGGGTCCTCGGCGGGGCTGGCGGCGGCGGCGGGCAGGTGGCCGGGCCGGTCGGCGCCGCCCGCCGCCGCGTACAGGCTCATGGCCTGCATGTTGCAGTGGTAGGTGCCGGCGGCGGAGCCGGCGGCCGCTTGGCCGCAGGGCGAGCCGTAGACGGAGCTGTGTCCCGGCGAGTAGCCGCCGAGGGACAGCGCGGGCGGGATGCCGGTGCGCGGCGCGGCGGCGGCAGGGGCCAGGAGGCCGGCGCCCAGCTCGGCGGCGGCCTGAGGCGAGCCCCGAAGCGAGGTCATGATGTTGTCCACGCTGAAGCCCGGGCCGTGGTGGTGGGGCGGCGGCGGGGGTGGCGGCGGGGGCGGCGGAGGGGCTCTGGGGCCTCCAGGCTGAGGGAGCGGCTGGAGGGGAGGGTGCTGCGGGGGCTGCCGCCGCTGGAGAGGCTGCTGCTGCTGTCGGGGCTCTCGATCTTGGGCACGGCGCCGAGCGGCGGCGCGGCGCCGGGGGGGGACACGGCCTGCGGCGGCGAGGCTGTGCCGTTCTCTGTCTTGATGTCCTGGATGCGGACGGGCGGCGGCGGCGGAGCGGCGCTGCCCCCGGCGGGGCCGCCCTCGGGCTCGGCGGCGGCGGCAGCGGGCGGCGGCGGGCGCGGCGGGGCATGGTCCTTGAGGTGCAGGCGGTCCTTCTCCTCCTTGTCCTTGACGGCGTCCTTCTTCTTGAAGCGACGACGGCGGCGGAGGAAGCTGCCGTTCTCGAACATGTTGTAGGAGTCGGGGTCGAGGGTCCAGTAGCTGCCCTTGCCGGGCTTCTTGTCGTCTCGGGGCACCTTGACGAAGCACTCGTTGAGGGAGAGGTTGTGGCGGATGCTGTTCTGCCAGCCCTGCTTGTTGTCCCGGTAGAAAGGGAACCGCTCCATGATGAACTGGTAGATCCCGTTCAAGGTGATCTTCTTATCGGGCGCGTTCTGGATGGCCATGGTGATGAGGGCGATGTAGCTGTAGGGCGGCTTCACCATATCCTTGGGCTGCGGCGGTGGCGTGTAGGGCCCGTAGGCTCGGGCCATGCCAGCCGGGTACTGCTCGTGGGCCGGGTGGGAGTACATGCTCATCGGAGCCGGCATGGCCGTGTAGCCCCCGCCAGCCGCCGCGGCCGCGGCGCGGTAGTAGCTCTGCTCTCCGCCGAGGTACGGCACCACTCCCAGGGAGTTGGGACTGGACACGGAGTAGCGAGCCTGCATGTCCTCCCGTCAGCTTTCCCCCACCCTCCCCGCCGGACCAAACAGCGCGTCCCTTCCCCCTCCACCCCTCCGCCGCTCCGCGGACCGAGCTGGACCGGGCGGCCGGGCAACCCCCACCCCCCCACCCCCCCGGCGGAGCGCGGTAAAAGGGAGAAAGAATAACGACGGCAGCGCCGAAAGTCTCCTCTTCTTCGCCCAGGAAAGCCCACCGGCGAGCTTCCCGCGCTCCACGCGGAGGGGAAAAAAAAAAAATCAAAAAAGGAGGGGGAAAAGGAGGGGTGCAAAAAAGGGAAAAAATGTTTTAAAAAAGAAAACGGCGGAGAGAAAAAAAAATAATCGCAGCGGAGAAAGCAACTTCCAAACGCAGAAAGAGTATTAAGAAAATAAAACCTTTGCAAAGAGGCTCCCACGCTCCCAGTTCCTTGTTCCACGGGGATCTGCAACAAGTTGTCTGCAAAGGAGGGACAAAAGTAGAGGGATGTGTTTTGTTGGCTTTTTTTAAGCGAGCAGAAGAAGAAAAAAATCCACCTTCCCGATCTCCCAGTGCAAAGTCTGCCTCTCTCTCTCTTTCTCGCTTTTTTCAGTCTCTTTTTCGGTCGCAGGCTGCTTTGGGAAGCATCGGAAAAACTCCTGAACTTTTGAGCATCCGTCACCACGGCGAGAACTTTTTTACGCACTTACAGTTTTCTCCTTTTTTTTTTCCCTCCCTCTCCTCTCTCGGTCTCCTTTTTTTTTTTTTTCCTCTCTTTTTTTTTTTCTTTTCCTCCTTTTGCAGGCGGCCCAGCTCCGCCCCACTGAGCCGAGGCGGCCAATGAGCGCTGGGAGACACCCGGGACTCTGAATGAGGAGGGAAAAAAAAACCGAGCGAGAGAAAAAAAAAAAAAAAAAGGAAAAAAAAATCTGCAGCAGCAGCCTCGGGAGTTGTAGCGCTCGGGGACCGGCCACACACGCTCGCCGGCACACGCGGACGCCTTGAGCGCCGCGGAGCCCCGGGTTCGCACGGGCCTCTGCGCACCCGCGGGGATACCCCCGCGCATTTTGCGCGACGACCCGCCCGACCCCTACTGCCTCGTACCTCGCTCGCCCACCCACTCGCGTACTTACGTGCGCGGTTGCCTTCGCACACGCACCCCGCGTACAGGCACGACGTGCATGCCTGCACCTATATGTATATATATCTCTGTATGTGTATGTGCTTCCCCCGGACCTCTTCCCACCTAGGTGCACCCCTCGGTCTGCCACGCGTGTTTCCTCCGAAATGTTACTTCTCTCTCTCTTCTTTTTTTTTTTTTTTTTTTTTTTTTTTTTGTAAGCTCCTTGGTGTGTTTTCTCCGCACGCTCCGGTCGGACTCCCTTCTCCCATTCCTGCCAGGCTGCCGCCCGTGTCGGCGGGCCGGCTCCACGCCGGTGTGCCGGCTCGCTCCCTGCCCTCCCCGCCCAGGAGCTCTCCCGCGGGGACGGAGAGGAAGGTGTGTGTGCGGAGGGGGGTGGGATGCCCCTGCCCCAGCAGCACCACCCTGCCTGCAATCAGCTACCTGCCTGCCCAAACACTTCTGAAGAGATTGCATTCCTCCGGTTGACAGGGTTTTGACGAGTCCTATAAAGCTCCTTTTTATTTATCAGCCACCAAGGGCTTTTTTCTCTCTCTGTCTGCAAATGAAGCGCCCGCTGCCTCTGTTGTTTATAAACAGGGACGCGTTTCTTTGAACGGGGTCTGTAGCTCGCCCTTCAGGTAATCTTTACAGACCATATGGGATGTGACATGGAGAGCGGATCCTTGCTTTATTTCTTTATTCCCTTGAGACGGAGAGGGCATAATTTTGTTCCTAGTCTGCTTCAGAGTGGATTCCGTGTTTTGTCAGGTGTGTCGAAAGGGAAAAAAAAAAAAGTCAGAAAAAGAACCACAACAAAATGAATGTTCCTTAAACTACTTGGCAGGTTCTACTACGAAGATTTGATTTCCTTTGCCTTTGTCTAACTATCTGAAATAATATTTGGGCTCTAATCAAGAATACGACTTTAACGGGAGCTCAAAGGGAGCAAAAAGTGAGGGCTTGGTTATTTATTTTTTCAATTTTATTTTCCATTTTCTCTTGTATTTAGGAAAGAAGCTTGTCATACCTTAAACATGGAGAAATTCGCATACATTTTTGCACTGAAATTTATTTTACCAATACTTTAGATATTCACTGTACAACTCAGTACTCTTCATTCTTCTTTATAGACCATACCTCTGAAACTTCATTAGCGTTAATAATAGATCAGCTGAAAGGATCAAGATGAAATCTATTTTAAGAGGTGGAATTTGTATGGGAATGACGTGTGTGTGGCGTATTTGTGAGATGAATTACCCATCCTGATCTTGTGACACTACAAATACGTCAAAAGACTCTTTTGGCTTCACTAATTTGAAACCTCCTTTCCACACTTTTTACTGTGATCGATTGCTTTGGGAATCGTGTCTTTGGAGCATGTTAAAGACGCATCATTTGCCTGGTGGTATTTTAGCAAGTACAGCTTTTCCGCTGAAACACCGATCAGTTGGTTATTAAAAAAATAAGTATTTTAAATGAGATTGAATTCATGTGAAGAAGGTAATGTATGTAGCTTAATATCTGTTTCTTTTCATATTCAAACGTAACTGGTCTCCTTTTGGTAATAAATGTCAGTCCTTTAATGGTGAATACCTTATCCCGTTTAGTCTGTTGTATTTCATCATCTGGAATTTTTCACCTGCTCCTGCCTAATTACACTTTTTTCCCTTTTCTCCCATCACGGCAGAATTAATAAATGTGCAAGCACTGGAATAGATGTCAATTCCAACACTTTATATTTTCAAAACCTCTTTCTTGTTTTACCGAGGGGAAAAAAAAATAAAAAGGAAAAAAAGAGAAAGAAAAAGGGCATTTTAGCACGCTTCCATGCAGCCCAGGTCATCCGGTTTTCCCACGGTGTTACCTGCTTTTAAAAACAATTTCCATGGGCTTTCTTCTCGCTCCCTTGAGCGTCCGTAACGTGCCGCTCCGAGACCGGGAGCCTTCAATGACTTTTTCATTTTATCTGGACAATGTTGACGGTAGCGAAGCTGTTTCACAGGCAGAGGTTGGAGTAACACCGAGAAGTTTCAGCACAGGGAAGGGGAGGGGGGGGCATTAATCCGACGTATTTTGCATTTAATATATTTTGCAATAGCCACTCCGATGCTTTAATTGCGAAATGACGCAACTAAAGTGTGTTAAGTTACAGACCTCAACCCAGCAGGACTTTGGTTTCTCTACTTGAGGCACAAAAGTCACCATTGTGAAGGTTCATAGAGGGATTTGGGGGTTGTACATGTGCGTGTTGTGGGGAAACAGCGGTTTTAGGGAGGCTGAAAGATCAGTTTTCCCCCTGCTGTCTTTGGATACCACCCAGAAAGAGTCCTCGGCGCTTGGGCTTTACCCACCCTGCCGCACGCCAGAGCTACCTCTCCCCAGCGCCCTACCTCCGCCGCCTTACCCAGCCTGGCCTCCGGGCGGGACAGCCGCCTTTGACGTGCCCCACCTGGGTCTGCCGCAGGAGCGGAGCAGGACGACAGCAGCCTCGGCCTCTGAGGACCCCCTGTCCCGCAGGGCCCCGGGCGGCGGACACGGCCGCTGCCGCCTCCTGCCCGAAGCCGGGCGAGGGGCGCCGGCGGAGGGAAGGGAGCCCCGATGGGCAACCCCAGGCCAGGGAAGCCGCGCTTGTCTCGAAACCCTCCGAGGCTTCGCGTGTGTGGTCACTTGCAACCTTATTTAGGAATATGTCAGAAAGAAAGATGACATCGGAGCTGTAGGCGGAAGAACTACCATTTGACCTGGGCAAAGCCCAGGTGGACACAAGCAATTTGCTGTGCGTTGTCCTCGCTCCTCTCGAAGACCTGGGGGGGAACTGCTTTCCAGCCACGGGCTGTTTATGTTTAAATGTAGTCAGAGCTTCGCTTCTCTCCCTTTCTTTTGGCTTCAACATCACAGCAGTATCCCTCTGAAACCAGCCACCCAGCCCGGCTCTTTGCATCTCAGGATGCAGCTTTCCATGTTCTTTAAACAGCGGGCGACACCGCAGGAGAAAACCGCTGACATCCTTTCGAGGGGTAGGGAGGGAAGTGATCGCATCAAATCTGTGCTTCACCAGTAGAAAAATCTATTGTGCTGAAAGTCCCCTCTCTGTTTACAGCCGCTGGACATGGTGACAGCAATCCCTCCCTCCCGTCCTTGCACCAGCACCTCTGCAATCTCAAGCCTGTGCAATTAAGCCGAGCTCTAAATGCAAAGTCTGTTTAGTGTGGCACTCAGTTAAGCAAACAGGAATGATTGTTGTTTTATTAACGTGGGTTAACAATTCCGTAAATAAGCAGAGGTAGTTTTCCAATCCAGGGCGTCTTTTATCTTGAGACATAAATAACACAACTTAATACGAAAATAAGCACTCCATTCCCTGTGGCATCTTTAGCCTCTCGTTCTTGACTGTGAAATAAATTATCCTTTGCAGTAAATGAGGCAGCAGTCAACGACTTCGTGCAATTCACGAGAGAAATATTTTAATTTCACGTTCGGTATCTAAAAGTGAATTTTGCATTTAATTTACAAGGAAGAATTGAGACCATAAAGAGATCAGAGCCCGCGCATTTCATCTTCCCACGATAATTATCGCGGTCGTACATATAATTCGTCTCTGTAACATAGGTTGTGTCCCTGAGATGTCGCAGCACTAGGAATAAGAACAAAAACCAGGCTGTGGGAAACTGCTTGTGTTGTTTCGGCTATAAAGTAATTTCTGTAAAATACTATCACGCACACACACATACACACACACTAAAACCCGCAAGTGCGTAAGAAACCTTTAATTTGGTAGGTTCTCTAGTTTTGCCATCCGATGGTAAAACACTGACATCTGAGGGGTTGGGGGTGTTAAAAAACTCACTCCTAAACTGACAAGAAGATAGCCAGACGTGGATTTTTTTTTTTTTTTTTTTAACTTTCCAAGGTCCCTTGT